ATAGATTTATGCGGAGTCCAATTTTATCCATTTAACGTTCGCAACCACTTTTCTCTAATCTTTGGATTTATGGGGAATCTGCAAATAGTATATATATATATATATATATATATATATATATATATATATATATATATATATATATATATATATATATATATATATATTGGCTGCGTTTGGCGGAAAAAAGCGCTAGCAAGTGCTTGTAAGCAAAATGGCGATCGTAAGCGGTAAGCGCTGTCAAATCGTAAGTAGCTACACGAAGTTAGTTTTAACCGGGGAACCTAGCCTAATTTAAATATGTGTTTGTAAAGTATTCATATTAAAAACTTACCAATAATGAATTTTTCATAACATGTATATGTTTATTCATGTCATTTTATTACTTAAAACTAATATTGCACAAAACAACTTATAAACTCTACTTCAAAACAAACAAATTAAATAAGCAAAATGGCGGATTGTGTCAGCGCTACTGAAGTTAGCAAACGTGTCCTGGCCGAAAACTGTTTAGTTTCGCCATTTTGCTTACAAGCGCTTTTTTCTGCCAAACGCACCCATTGTTCATTTTCAATCAATAGACAATACATATACTGTCATAAGCACGTAAGCTTATGTCAGTGGTAAGTGAGTAGGTTTCATTATTGTCATCCATGTCATTATTGAATATTGGTTTCTGTGTTATTCTAAGCCAAAGTTTTTCGAAAAGTTTGTAAACACTAATTGGAACGAAGTTCCTTATCACGCGTTGGGAAAGGGGGCTAGACGGAAAAAATTAAGACCAAAAGTTGTAACGACACTTTTTGCTATAGTTGTAAGCCGTGCGGCATGTGCGTGTTTCTCCGTCTGTCTCTCTCTCTCTCTCTCTCTATTTCTATCTCTCCCTCTTTCATAGGAAGCAAGCCAGTTATTTCCGTTTCGTCTTTTTTTGTTGAGTGTATACAGGTTTTTTGTACATAATAAATAATAAAAAATAATTACAATAATGAATCCTGACAGTGTTTCTGCACAAGTTCCGGATCTTGCTGATGGAGTTAGGTAAGTAGAGATTTTATACAGACAATAATAAATGCTTATGTATTTTTAGCAAGATCTATGACGTGTACGAAAGAATAGACAGACAGAGTGCATATATATATATATATATATATATATATATATATATATATATATATATATATACACTACACTCTTGCTACCTGCGTGAATCACTATAAAGTAAACGCTGTTTACTTTATAGTGAGACGGTAGGTATGTGTGTGATATGTGTAGATCACAGTCTGGGAACAATTAATGAATTACAAGCGTACACAATAAAGTTAATATTTAATTATTAGAAACAGGTACACAGTATATAATATATAGTATACAACACAACCTAAAGGTCAATAGCCATACAAAAATTGAAGGAGTAGACAGTGATAACATAAAGTAAATTATTTAAAGATATTTTTCGCGAGCTAGCAACTGAGCACTCGGTTAGCCAGGCGACATGCGCTTCTCGTATGCTGTCGGTAAGCGGACTGGTAAAAGTGCAGTGCGCGGCGTTGAATGCCCAGGCGCAGGGAACTGCATTCCAATGGTATAGTTGTTTAGCGTGTTTCTAATGCACACTAGGTTAATGTAAATAATGATTTATTATTAAATATTATATTTGTATTCTAATATGTAACGGTGGAATTCAGGTTACTTAATAATTGTAAATAATTAGATATAATTCTGTAAATATATTAAATAATTAATATAAATATATATGTGTGTAATATGTATATATACGTATAATATACAATAAGTAGGCTACAACTTGAATAGTTTTTGTAAACACTTGTAAGTTTTGTTTAGTCTTTAGTATATTTAATTGTAGGATAAAATAGTTCGAAATTTTTAATGTGGTTTAAAAATTATGTATAATTAATTACCTATCTATTCGATAAATTATAATGGCAAAATTTCGAGCCTACTGTAATTGTTGCATGAATGGATGCCTAATGAACAAAAAAAAGGATTCAGATATCATTTTTATGTTACTTAAGGATAATGAAAGATACATTTATTCATTTTTTTTTCAATAAATACTTATAGCAAAAAAGAATTAAGTAATAATTTAAATACAAAAGTAATACCTAAGTATTTTACTTCAAAACTTAGTTGAAATTTACTTCACTATCTAAGTAGGTAGCTTACATGTCTTTTGTAATAAAATATTTAAGTTATCACAAAGCACTGAAGTTAAAACTTTTTTTACAAGATTTTTAACTAATTAGAATACAATCACATTTCATTTCGGAATCGTATTTCGGGTTTATTTGTTGTTTACACTACCTACCTATTACTTATGAGCGATTTATTAAATCGCGATTCGTGACGAGTGACCTTGCAAGTTGCGTGCGTTAGGCACAGAATTCCCGTAGTAGCAAAAATATGTTCATTCGATCAGTCAGAATAGGTACCTTACGTATTTTACATACCATTTCGCATCGTATTAATAATTAATTAATTTATACTCTTTATTGCACACAACATATTAAATTAACACACCACTCTTAATTTATAAATTTAAGTACAATTAGGTGGCCTCATCCCTAAACAGTAATCTCTTCCAGGCAAAACTTGGTAACGTAGTAATACATATTAATTATTCTATGCCTTGGTGAAGGAGATCCGTAAATAGAGGTGTGCATAAATAGTAGATCAACGAGCATATATTAATACATATTATAAGCTAACTAAGTACCTACTTACATGTGTTTTTCATATGGCGCAAATATTATTTTTCTGTGTGGATATTATTGACTGTTTCCATATTCCACTTAATTAAATGTGGAATCTAATCACCATTGAAGATTAGCGTGAAATTGGAGAGGTTAGTGATTCTTATTCATACATATATTTTAAAACAAATTGTTCTTGAATATTGAGTTGTTCTTAATTCATGGTAACCACTGCGTTTGCTCCTGACGAATGGTGATGAAGCAGTCATAGATGAAAGCGGGCTAACATTGCTGTTTTTTATTATTAAACCGTATACTTAAATAAAAATAAACACAAATAGTTTTAAAGGAATTATAAACTTCCAAATTGGCGCTGTCAGAAATCAAACCCGGGAGTTCCCGGATTCCACCACAGAGCTTCAATGCGCCAAATCCTTTTCAATTTGACGACAGAATTCAAAAGAAAGGGAGCGTTAACCGGTATTTTAGAGACGGCAAAAATACATTATATTTTAAGTTAAACAACGGTAAATTAAATAAATTATTAATGTTATACATACTGTATTTTTTATTCCTTTTTTACAGCCCTAAGTTACCACGAAAAAACAGCCGTGATGTAGAAAGAGGGAAAGATGCAAAGTAATACGGACACTCGCGCGCAGCGATAAAGGTTTATTTAGCTTGCGTGCGCAAATTATCTTATTAATAATAATTATGTAGGCCATTAAACACCAGCAAGCAGTCAACATCAAAAGAGTGAAACTTCTGTCCGTAGTACTATTATTTATTCTGTGCTATTATTATCATTAAAGTTAACTATTCGCTGTACAAATATAACTTACTAGGTATCCTTCACTTTGGTTGATTGAAATCGATATCAAAACAAATCGGGCGTATGACTAATAAGTGAGGTTTTAATGCCCTCATATTTTTCTCTATTTGTTATTTTCCAAATATGACTGATTTTGTTGTGTTGGTTCATCTCAATACTTAATAAAATTAATTTTTCATTAAATTTTCTCCAAAGTCGGCAAAATTGTGAACGAATCACTATTGGGAAAACACGATGCATATCAGGTTATAAATTTACTGGTGCAATGAGTAATCCTGGGAATTATACTTTTTGGGAGAGATACATCCTGGTACAGAACAAAAACTATCGTCTTATACACGCACATTAACTAGTTATCACTTAAGTTCACTAATGAAATTGCTAAAATGTTGCGCACAGTTTACCGGGCCGTTATGTACCGAATAACGGTAGCTATAGTTCGTAAAAGATAGCTTGATCTCTGCGACAGCCACAAACTAATAAGAGTACTAACGTAGTTAGTAAAATCACGCCTATGAAGTCCTGAATTTCTTAGTAGTACAGACAGTACCTGTCAATGTCATACTTTATGGACATGCCGATCTAATTAGTGAATGCCCATAAAGTATGACATTGACAGATACCGTCATAGGCGTGATTTTTACTGACAGCTGTCGCAGAGATCAAGCTATCTTTTATGAACTATAATATGTGTTTAGTCTCGCTGACAGCTTCACTCGCTTTTTGTTGCGGCTCTACGGCCCTTTTTTACTCATAAGTCCAATCTATGTTACTAGTTTATATTAAATCTATGGTCCGACAGTAGTACGTTAGTACTCTTATTAGTTTGTGGTTTGTAAACAGTAGTAATATTTAGTATTCTGTGATCTGTGTGGATCTGTGAGTTAGTCGAGTTTTGGCGGGAACTTGTGAACCCGTCAAGCAGTTAAGTGGATTTTATTCGTAAAGTGATGCGATTTTGTGAATTAAGTGTCCGCGCGTGTGAACTATTAGAGAAAACGACGAAACAAGTGCTTTGATGTCGATATAAACTTCAAGTTATTTTGATCGCTTGGACGTCTTATGAACTTGAGTGGCTGTCGTCATCAACTGTCCGCTAGGTTGAGCTGTTGTCAAAATCTCCCAAGGGCTTCGCAATGTGACTCATCAGCATATTGTGAAGAAAAAGAACATAAAATGAAGATTCCTAAAGAAAGGATAGGCTCAGAAGGTCTAGAAACCAGAGCCGTAAAGCCAGTTAATAAAGAAAAATGTGAGTTAGTCTGTGTGTTAATGCGTTTGTTAAATTGTTACTTACTCTTTGGTGTTACCTTTTACATATCAATTCATAGTAGTCTGTGATTTCAATTGTACGTAGTGTTTGTTTACCTCATTTACCTTAAAAATGGATATTTCGAGAAGTGTTTTATGTTTTCTTTTTGTTTTTTGTTCTCTTTTTTATTCATTAAAATGTGCAGATGTATGTGCAAAGAAAAGCTCATGCATTTGTGAGTTTCCCAATGGAACCGGTATTGACTTGACACCCTCTGTAAAATCAACATTTTATTCAGCAGAAATTTATGAAATTAAGAATGGTGGAAATCAGTATGTTCTCAGCACCTACTTTTATCATCCATGTTTTGATGCGCTGCCAATTGTAAACCAAACTGCGGCAAATAATACTTGTGACGAACCTTTATCTGTGAGTATTTTGATACTTTATTTATTTACGCACCTACAAATTTTTCGATGTTCAAACTTAGAACTAGTTTTAAAGAAACTATTACCTGTTATATTTGTCTGCTTTTTCATAATTTATTAGAAGTGTATGTTTTAGGCAATTATATGTTCATAAGAATAACATATTCACTAATTTATACATTATTATTTCATGAAATAGGAAAACATTTTCATAATGACGGCTAACAACGACAACTTAGGAAAATATTGAACAGATTTCGTGACCGGGAAGTTATTTTCTTAGGAAAATGTCAGGGTTAATCTTTCTTTCCCCAAGATTAGTAAAATTTTATATTAATTAAATTAGAAATGAATAAACCAAACTGTAAAGTCCTAAAAGGAGAAAAATTTAAAAAGAGTTCAGTGTGTAATAAATTAAAGAGTGAACTACTGAGGAATGTTTTGTGTGTTTACACTATACTCTAGGAACCCATAATTTTTTATTTTAAATGCACCTCAAATAAATGACATGTGTAACATGCCATCCTATTAATTACTCTAAATTAGATTTCTTGGCTACAGTTCAGTTCATGTGCACAATATTAAATTGTGTTTATGTTAATATCATTTGCATACAATGTATTTGAGTATTTTTGACCTTAATTTGTTTTACCAACTAAAATTAAAATTTACTTTTATTAATTAACATTACTAATATTCCTTTTAACCACTCCAGATAAGCTTAAAATGCTTGTGTTAGGAGTGGTTCACGACAGTAGTCGAATGGCAGAATCGAACCCACAACCTTTTGAGTTCACGGGCCACACCTTGCCATTATTCTGTATTTAATTAATTTATCACTTATATTTGATATGGTTATATATTTTTTGCTAGATTTTTGTTTTTCTTCACATATCTGGACCTTAAAGAAGCTTTCAATTTCTGAGCTCCCCTTATAACCTTTCCCTTTGGGCCAGAGAAAACCTCTTTTTCAGTTCTTGAGACAAGCTTTGAAACCCAGGGGCAGATCTATACAAGGACTTTTTGGGCTGTAGCCTAAGGCCCCATGTATACTATAGGGCTCCCAGCGCTCATTGAAGACAATAGCTGTCAAAGCTCCAAAAATAATTAGGATGATATTATGAAAATTTCAAAGTTTTAGTGGGAATGAGGATGAGAAAGTAAAATTTTGGAGAAGAGGCTCCATATTTATTTTTTTGTAAGGAATTTTGGAGGCCTTAGTAAGTGATTCTTTTAAAAATATGTTCAGAAACATTATCTTTTTCTCTAATTTAAGAATACTCCTTTCTTTCTTTTTCTGTACTTTTATGATCATTAGTCCATCATTGTAAGTACCTACATAGACTTTTTATTGCATAATGTCTGTTTTTTTATTTCCTTCTTTGTAAATTGTCTAAAAGAAGTATGTAGCTTTATGGCAATAAGACTGCCTTTTATTTTCTCTTTATGTAAGTTTTTTGACCTGTAACTTGTTTTCTAGGTATGTACTATAGAGCATAGTATAGAGTATTGTGTTTTTTTATTGTACATTTTGTAAAATGGTTTAATATTGGTATAAATTATTTATATTGATATAAATAATTTTATATCTAATTATTGAATATAGTCAAGAGGTAAATATTTTATAACCAGCTAAAACATATTTTATAAGAAATATAAAAATATTAACATCATTATGCATTTAAAAAATTCCAGATATGTCGACATGCTAACAACTTTGACTTGGTAAATACAACAGGATTATTTAAAAAAGACAGTGGCATCTATGAAAAGATGGGAAGTTCAAATAAGACTGAATTCAGTGCTGATGGTCAATCAATTATATACCACAATGATCCTTCGTAAGTAATCTTCTGGTCAGTTTTTTTAATTTGAAATTTAAACTGAGATATTTCAAAATTCATCAGGCAATAAACATTAAGGGATTTGCAATTATTGTAGTTCTTGGCAGGCAGATTGTAGATGTCCAGATGTTTAGGCTAGTATTAAGAGAATTTTTTTTTTATAGGATAGGGTGAGAAACAAGCACACAGTCCACCTGATGGTAATGGTTGCTGTGGCCCATAGACATCTACATCTATCCTCGATTACGAATCAAAATGCAGATGCATAGTCACCCGTGAGGACTAAGGTGGAATGCCTTGTTTCCAGTAAAAAGGGTCTCCAGTTCTTTACACTCACAATAGGAAACACAGCAGCATTAAACTACTATTTTAGGCTGATATTCTGTGAGAGTGTAGTCCTTCCCCAGTCGAGCCGACCCATTCGTAAACCAATTATACTTCTAATATACTGCAGCATGGCTCTACCACATATGTAAGTGTACCTACCTATCTACCATGTTTACTACGTTTATCATTTTTGCATATCATGTACGAGAAATAAATGAAATGAACATAGTCTTGTCTAGTAAACCTATGTATTTGAAACAATATACACAAAAATTACACTAGCTGTTAGGCCTACATAATGGGTGCGTTTGGCAGAAAAAAGCGCTAGCAAGCGCTTACAAGCGCTGAAATAGTTTTCGGCCAGGACACGATTGCTACTTCAGTAGCGCTGACATAATGCGAGATTTTGCTTATTTAATTTGTTTGTTTTGAAGTAGAGTTTATAAGTTTTTTTGTGCAATATTAGTTTTAAGTAAAATAATGACATGAATAAACATATACATGTTATTAAAAATTCATGATTGGTAAGTTTTTAATATGAATACTTTACAAACATATATTTAAATTGGGTTAGGTTCCCCGGTTAAAACTAACTTCGTGTCCTAGAGGAAAATAGCTACTTACGATTTGACAGCGCTTACCGCTTACGATCGCCATTTTGTTTACAAGCGCTTGCTAGCGCTTTTTTCTGCCAAACGCACCCAATTAATGATCATGTCCTGCTTTTACTTGGTAGTACGATATTATGAGTGTTTAATCAGCTTGGTAACTCTATCTTAATAACTTTTTATATAAAAATGTTGCATATGAAAAGAACTGCTATGTAGTAGCCGTATAGGAGAATCCACCAACTCCTAGAGACTCCTATGGATGTTGTAGAGGTGACAGAGGGAAATGAAACAGAAGTGCATCACCATTTTCCTGGTAACTTAAAACTGCTGTTGTTAACCTGGCAAGTGTGGGTACTATGTAGCGAAATATCTCCCCCTATGAGCATACTTTAATGGTGGACTTTTGGTGGGCTGTTACGAAATCAAAAAAATAAATAAATGCCAAACAAAATTTCTATACAGTTTTACAATTCCTCAACATGAGGACGCTCCCAGAAATGAAAAGACTTGTGCCCAGAAGTATGACAGATATAGGCTAGACTTAACTTAAGAAAATTTTCTCAATCATTTGTTTAAATTAAACTGTTTTAATTTTTAATAATTTTATTTTCATATTGTTACACACAAAAAGTAAGAGCCACTTATGTGATGTGTAGGTAGACAAATATATATATATATATATAGATAATATAAAATAAATGCAAAACAGAGTATTTAAATATTATATTTCTCATCCTAATAATAGTGTTTTCCTGAATTTTATTAGTAAGTTAACCTCTTATATTGGACAAACTAAAAGACCAATAAAACCCATGTAGAAGAACATAGCTGATGTAAAGAATCAAATCGACGCTCCGTATGCGCATGCGCATACTTCCCGTCTGCAGTATGTGAACATGTTGAAACACACAAGCATTGCCCCTTCTCTACATCAGATTAGATAGATCACAAATCCTTGCTAAAGAACACAGATGCCTACCAAGAAAGATTTGCGAGGCAATTGAAATTAAAAAAACAACTTTGAGATATTATAAGTTCATACAGCACACATTAGACCAAAAATTGATAATTTTAATCTGAAGTTAGCCGTTGATAAACTATGACATTAGGAACTTGTTGAACACTTCAGTCCAGTGACCATGTGTGTTGTCAAATACTCAAAACATCAGGAATATAATAGGTTGGGGAAAAAGTTTCTTCATATTTTATATACAAATTCAAGACATTTTTCTTCAAAATTAATCACATTTAATTATAATATATATGTGCCATTTTGTCCGTTGTTGTTGTTTGTTGTTCATTTTTTGTTGTTGTCCGTGTTGAGCCATGGTAGCTTAGATAGTTAACGCTTGCTGTAAATATAAAAAAAGAATGCGAGTAACCTGGGTTTGATCCCCGCCGGCACCAATGAAATAATTAATGGCAATTTTAAGTGCTGATTTACCATGTGCTCGGCGGTGAAGGTAAACATAGTGAGGAAACCTGCATGTCTGAGAAATAAGAAAAAAAAAATTCGAAGACATGTGAAGTTCGCCAACACGCATTGGGGCAGCGCGGCGGACACTTCCTTGCTCTAAAACCCTCTCAGAAATGAGGGGAGGCCTGTGCCCAGCAGTGGGATATATATAGGCTGTAAATTTACTGTTATATATGTGCCATTTTGTCCGATAACTTGTTGGCATCTTGTATGTAGTGACAATCCTGTTGCTGTAGGAATCTGGGGATTTTTTATCAAAAAATGCGACAAGTAATTTTGACAGTCCTCTCTTGATGTTAACCTAACACTAAAATAATTCTGATGAGACCAAAACAGGTGAAAATCTGATGGAACAAGGTCAGGACTATATGGGAGATGCATTAACACTTTGCAAACAATAAGCTCTCAATTTTTTGCTGAGTGGCCAAAGATGTGTGTAGTCTGCCATTATCATGATTAAAGACAGCTCCTTTTCTGTCAAATCAATTTCGGCCGTTTTTTCTCAATTTCTTGCATGAGTCACATTAGTTGTTGGTAGTAGAGATCCGGATCAATGCTTTTGCCCGGCGGTAAAAGCTTTTAATAAAAGATGCCCTTACAATCTCACTATACAAACAGCCATCATCTTATTGCATGTTAATCTGGGTTTTGCTAGTCTGTGGAGTTGACTACCCTTTGACCATGATTTTTTTGCAAGTTCTTGTCATAGGTGATCCACTTTTCATCACCAGTGATCAATATTTTCAAAATTGGTTTGGTTTCATTACGTTTCAATAGAGAATCGCAAATGAGTACATGATTCATTAGGTTTCTTTCAGTAAGTTCGTGTGCCCAAATATCGAGCTTTTTTGTACAGCCAGTATGCAGTAGTATAATAAGTCTATGATTGCCAGACTTTTTCAATTAGGTCAAAACTCTTTTGCAGTCAATCCTCAGTTTTCGATGTCGTAACTACTAATATGCCAATCTTGCTCCACTTACAAAAATAGCATCGACTTTATCCATATGAGGGCGACCAGAACCAGCTGCATCTTTGACATCAAAATTTCGGGACTGAAAATGCTTGAACTAACTTTGTGCTACTCTTACTGATTGCATTAGATCCATAAACGTCACAAATTTTTTTCGCGGCTTGAGGCGTATTTTTCCAAATTTTTCCCATTATTTGTAATAGAATTTCTTTTTTTAGATTCACTCATTTTGGCAGACAGAAAAACAATTGAAAAATGACGGGAAAGTGTTTTTTACTTTTTATTTTGCTCTTAATATCCTATATGTATTGATATTAAAACCAGCCAGATACAAACAGTACAACCAAAGAGATTTTTCTTCAATTTTATACAGACAAAATGTGAAGAAACTTTTTCCCCAACCTATTAAAATAAGTTAACATACGCACGCGATAAAATCCGTGAAAGCTGATTTTATTTAAATATAATCCACAAATTTTAATAATATAACATCTATACGTAAAGATGATTTTGAATAGTGTACTTCGCCAAAATACCGAATACCTAATTCGGTATTATGGCGAACATTGCCACCACTTGTTATCATAACACGTTGACAACTTGATTCTCCAACTGGTTATGGTAATATTTATACTTATTTGTGACTTCATAGCTACATGGTGAAAATATTTGTTAGTTTATACATGACATCATTATATTAAATACAATAATTTTATTTCACGCATCAAGCACTTAAAAATTGAGAACCATAGCAATAGCCCATAGCAATTTATACCTAAACCAAAAAAAAAAATATAAAACATAAACATAACTCTATCTAGGGAACTTTCTTCTTTGGCGTGTCCCAGTATCGGCGATACACTACCCCACAAGGCCAGTAATGAGGAGCGAGGAACGTCTCTGTATTTTGCAGAAACCTGAATTTCGTTGACCTATTAGACTCCAGACACTGTAAATGTAAAGAAATCGGATTCTCTATGCGGCTTCGACTTTGTTTTTCTACGAAACGCAGGATTTCTTCTTCCGACATACTTTTGTCCAAACGATAGATATAGAGCTGTACGGTCGATACAGGTTATAGACGGGTATTATTTCGGGTCACATTCTTTCGTTTTCGATCACAAGAAGGTGCTGGACGTAAAGTTTTCGAGAAATATTTTCCTTCACATAGGAAAAATTAAAAAAATTATATCAATATAATTTTTTCCTTCCTATGTGCTTCCCGAGAAATTGTACAATTGAATCACCAGTTTTCTTGCTGATCGGAGCATCAAATTCGTAGTAGACGGTGCATGCTCCGATTACAATGTTCCACAAGGCTACGTGCTATATCACCGACGCTGTTTCTTCTGCATATCAATGTCATGTTGCAAACCGGTAACATTCATTGCTATGCAGACGACAGCACTGGTGATGCTCTGTACACCGGCCGTGCAAATATTTCTCGGGAAAACGTCGCAAAGTACCGGGACAAACTTGTGTCTGAAGTCGAAATTTTGTTGAACAAAGTCTCGGACTGGGGGCGACTAAATCTAGTCCGGTTTAATCCCCAGAAGACACAAGTTTGCGCGTTTACCATTAAAAAAAAACCCTTCCTCGTATCCTAAGTTT